CGCGGGGGGGACGTGGGGTTTCACGTGCCACATTGTCAGGCGGCTGAGTGACTTGGGGGAATAGACGCCCTCCCCTCCAGCTTGTAGGCTGGCCTGTCTGCCAAGAGCCCCTTTCTGAGCTGAGCCCTGGAGATCACGAAGAATCCCACCCCTCCTTGGAAACAGGCACGTCCCTGGTTGGTGTGGAGTGCGTGCGTGTGGGGCCCATCTGCCCCCTCTCTTAGCTCGTGTCACGCCCGGGCTAAGGAAGCCACAGGGCACCCCGTGGCCGTCAGGCAGGCCAGGGCTCGCCCCCTCGCCAGCCCTTGTGAAGGGTGCAAACGCCTGAAGCGCCCGCGGAGGTTCAGCCAGGATTAAGCGGATTCAGCCATGGGAGGAGAGGAGAGTTATCGTGTGACGCCGTGGGTGGGGTGACAGCGGGAGGCTCCAGTTCACTGCCAGCCCTGGGGACATTTGCTCATCGTCCTCTCCACACGCTCAGTGCCATGCTGTCCCGTAGGAACCCGGGAGCCCCAAATTCAAGTCGTGTGTGTACTTTCGTTTTCTAGTAGCCGCCTTAAAAAGGAAAAATGGGGCACCTGGGTGGCTCAGTCGGTTGAGCGTCTGACTCTTGATTTGGGGTCAGGCCCTGATCCCGGGGTCGTGGGATCGAGCCCCGCATCAGGCTCCGTGCTGAGCGTGTGGAGCCTGCTTGAGATTCTCTCCCTCTCCCTCTGCCCTACTCCCCCACTTTCTCTCTCTCTCAAATTAAAAAAGAAGAAAAAAGCAACAGGTGGGATTCACTCTTGCAATATTGTATTCAACCAGTGTATCCAAAACGTTATTTCAATATGTAATCGATACAAGGGTTTTTCATGAACTGCCTTACATTCATGTCCTGCCCTCAGTCTTGGGAGTGCGGGGTATGCATTTGCGGACGCCCTTCTTGGTTCTGACCGCCCCGTTTCAAGTGCTCCATAGCGACCTGCCGCACCTCCCCTCGGCTGGACCGCACGACCACACAGCGCCCTCTGCTGGTTCCCCGGGGCCGCTGGCCTTGGGGTCGGTCTTGCAATCCTTTTGTTCTGTTCTGCTACCCCCTGGACATTTTTGCCTCCCCCCCATCCCCCCAGGACTGCGGCCTGGAACTCAACGACGAAGACGGCCACCGCTGCTACCCCCTGGAAGACCACCTGTTCTGTCACTCCTGCCACGTCAAGAGACTGGAGAAGAGCCCCTCCCCTGCAGCTCTCCACCAGCATCGCTTCTAGCCGGAGCCTCTTCCAGACCTCGCGTTGGCGACCAGCAGCCAGCGTCGCAAAGCCAGACATCTGCCTGCTAATTCCAGTGGCCCCACGGGGTGGTCGTGGGGGTGGGGGGGTGGGGAGGGGGGCCAGGCAGGTAAGTTTCTGTATACGCGCGGGGCGCCGTTCCTTCAACCTCCCTGTCTGGTAGGTGTTACTTTCCAAGTGCCTTTCTCCGCCGCCCCGCCCTCATTGGATTACTCAGGAAGATACTCTAGCAGGTGCATGGCGTGTGACACCCCAAGGAGCCCTCTGGGCCCCTCTGGGAACAGCTCGTGCTTTAGAGGGAAAAGTTTGCGCTGAGCGTACTTCTCGGTGTCCTCTGAGGAGGGCTCAGCTGCCAATACCTTCAGCCCCTCCCTGTCCCTTTAGGAAAGCACCCGCACCAGACATTACCCCCGGTGCCCCCCCCCCCCCACGCACACGACATGATTTGAGACTGCACCCTCGACACGCACATGCAGCATTATGGGAGACGTCTCTCCGCCCCAGAGACTCCTCTCTTCTGTCGGATGGCTGCAGATTTTAACTGCATCGTGGCAAGAGGGGAGCTGTGCCCGTGCTCTGTGTCCGAGGAAGAACTGCTTGGTAAACCGGAGCCGAGTTGTGGACTGAGCGAGCCGGGGTTTCCTCCTCGTACGCTGACAACGTCTTGCCTGCTCCTGCAAATCTTCACTCCCTGACAGGCAGCTGGGAGCCCGGGCGGAGGTTTGCCCCGTTCGATAGCGAGGCGTGTTTGGGACGAGAACTTGGGTGTGGGTACCAGGCGTCCTTTGCCCTCCTGTTTGCACCGTCCTCCTCTGGAGCTCTCGAGAGTCTGGGACTTTGGAGTCGCTCCCACAGAGGCAAGTCTCAGGATCCCGTGTGGGGACATCTCTGTGCCTGTCGTAGCTTATCTAACCACGGGCTTTGGGGAAGCCTTGCCCATGTGCTGAGAGCTGGCGCATACACGAGGAGACTGTGTGTGTGTGTGTGTGTGTGTGTGTGTGTGTGTGACAGTGACATCTCCAGCAGCACGAGACGGAGAGCCTCAGGAAAAATCACCATGTTCGTTTTCCACTGTGTCTCGTCTGTCTCTGGCCCAGTGCTTGGCTCGGGCGTGGCCTGCGAAGAAACCCGCAGAAGGTACACTGCTTTGGTCTGTTTCTTTTCTTGTTTTTCGTTGTTTTCCTCCGCTTGCGGTCTTCCACGCGCACAAAAATACCTCACAGGTCAGGGCTTCACCAAATCGCACGTCGGGAGGAACTCGGCCGTCATGCTGAACTCAGAGATGCCTCCGTGGGTGCGTGAGGGGTCTCGGCCTCCATGCGGGCCAGACTCCCGCGGGTCAGGGCGCTGTGATCTCAGCTGAAAGTCAGCTGAGAGTGGATCCGGTTGAACGTGGGTGCTGTTGCCTGACGCGTTTCATCATGTCGGTTCCCCGGGGTGGCGAGGGGCTAAGGGAGGGCCGCACCCGGGCAGGATTTCAGGGCCACCTGTGCGCTGACGTGTCACACTCCTGAGGCCAGACGTCAGTACGCCCAGTATTTCAATGAAGAGGCGGTGTAAAAGACTTAAAAAAGGAGGTTGCCTGCCGTTCGCCCTCTCGGCCCGTGGGGAGGGCCCCCTGGCCTCGGTGTTGTTGCCGGAGGTCGGGGGTCACGTCACTGCTGCCAGCTGGTCTGGGAGTATTGCCCTGGCACCCGCTCGCCACCGCCTCCCCGCCTCGCACCCAGGGCAGCAGGGGCCACGGAGGGCAGTCACCGGAGCCCGAGGCCCATGGGACTCGCAGACTTTACAGTGGGCCCGGCTCCAGTTCTGAGCCGTGTTTTGACCCGTTTCGGGGGCAGTTGCTACAGGAGGCACCGAATGGGCACCGTGAGTTGCCTCCTATGTTTATTCAGTTCGTTCTGCTAGAATCCTTTGGCCAGATGTCCCTTCAGCCCAGGCTGCGTGCCCTCATCGATCCCATCTTACAGGCCGAGCCTCCAGAAGCCTGGCGCCGCATGGGGCCGGGGGTGGGGAGAGAACCCCTCTCTCCCCAGCTGGGCCCAGGAAGCCAGCCGATGTGTCTCGTCTTTGCCAACCGAGGAACGTCTCTGGCCTTGCTGACACCCCTTTGCTCTGATTGCAAGTCGGGCAGAAAGTGAAGAAAACTGCCTGAGAGCGACTGTCAAAAGCAGGGATGTGTGTGCAAAGTGGGTAACTAGGTTAGTTTTAAAAAAAAAGTCTCGGGATTAAATTTTTTAATTGGGATGTTTTAAGTGGCCTTGATGGACGTGATTGGGACATCTGCCAAAACGGGGTTTTATAGTGTTAAGGAAGGACAGTAAGAGAATTTCCAGGTACCCTAGAAGTCTGAGCAGCAAGTTCTCTTGTGGTCCGGGGCCCCGGGGAGGGGGGGGGGCGCGGGTAGGAATCTCGCACCAGTTCTGCCTCTCGGGCTCTTGGGCGAGAGCCGTGAAGAGATGGTCGCCTAGGCGGCTATCTCTATGTGGTTCTGTAAGCTGTTAGCCAAACAGAGTTGTAATGGGGTTGTATTTATAGGCACCTAGAAAGAAGACACAAGCACCTGGTAAACCAGGATGAATCCATTTGTTTGAACAGGTAGAGCGCGTAGCCCTTCCTGAGTTCCCTAGATAGCTCTTGGGCTTTAGATAAACCAGGAGAATTAAGGTTTGATCCCAGACCCCGAAGCCAGCCTCCGGCCTCCTCCCCTGCCTCATTTTGCCGTTAGTTTTTTTCTTCCCCACCCCCTGCCCCTTCCCCAGCGAGGGCCATTCAGAAACCGCCAGGGTGGTCCGAGAAAAGCCAAGAACGTAGTTTGGCCTGCTGTTCCCCCTCGAGGTTACTCTCCCACCTGTCGGTGGGTAAAGAGTGCTTTGTTCATCCCTCATCGCGGAAGCGCGTCTCATCCCGTCTGGGTAATCGCCTGTACGTGGCAGCGGGGTGTCCCCCTTTCTCCGAGGGCAGTGCTCTGGTGCAAACCTCGCTCAGCCGAATCCACCGAGGTTGTGCTGTTGAGTCCTGGGCGGCGAATGCAGTAAGGAGTTCTGATCGCCGTCACCCGCCGCCATCACCCTGTGGCCGTGGGCTGCAGTCACACTCACACGAGGAAAAATGTCAGGACCTGAGAGAATGACTTGGAACCCCCCATGCTTGGCAGGCTGGTTTGTGCGGGCCATTTCCCGTGCGTGGGGAAGTGTGGCAGCCGTGATGCCTGCCGGTTCCCTCGAAACCACGTGTGCAAGACTTGACCCCAAATCCGCCTTGTTGCTGGATGCACCTGTCACGGCTCTGTCCGCCTTTGTGCCAGGAATACGTTCTAACTTCCAGGTGATTTGAAGTCCGTCTTAAAAGTAATAGGCTAAAAGGAGTAAAATACAGTAGCTATTTGTTCTGAGCCGGAGCTGGACAGGTGTGGGACATTTCCGTATAGTGTATGAAAATTTCACCGTGCAGGGAAATGATTTTCCACTGTATCTCGTCTTCTATGATAAAAAAAAAAAATTCTTCAAAATTATACTGTTGCTGTAAGATGATTCAAAATATTGTTACTGCAGAATCCTTCTTCAAAATTGTACCGTTACTGTAAAATGATTCAAAATATCATGACAATAAACTGCATCAATTTGTAGCCTATTAAAGTGCCCTCCAACATGATGGTGGTTAACGGGTTTTCTTTTGTGTGTGTGGAGTGTGCAGACAGTGCTTTTCGCTAACTGGGTTTAGTCTTCTTTTGCAGCTCTGGCACCTTAAAGGAATGTATGGGTCAAAACTATGAAAGGTCCAAGAACTAATAAGGTAGCATGCGGTGATGTCATGGATCCTGCTGGAAGTTACGAGACTCCTAGGTCAGAGACAAAGGACAGGTTGATGCAGCACCAGCAGGAAGCGTTTTTTGTTTGTTTTTTTTGTTTGTTTGTTTTGAGAGAGAGAGTGTAAGTGAACAGGGAAAAGGGTCAGAGAGAGAATCTTTTTTCATTAATTTATTTATTTAGAGAGAGAGAGAGCATGAGCAGGGGAGGGACAGAGAGAGAGGGAGAGAGAATCTTCAGCAGGCTCTGCGCCTTCAGCACAGAGCCCAACGCGGGGCTTGAACTCACGAACTGTGAGATCATGACCTGAGCCGAAACCAAGAGTCAGATGTTTAACCAACTGAGCCACCCCAGGTGCCCCGAGAGAGAGAGAGAGAGAGAGAGAGAGAGAGAGAGAGAGAGAATCTTAAGCAGGCTCTAGGCTCGGTGTGGAGCCCAACACAGGGCTGCATCCCAAGACCCTGGGATCATGACCTGAGCCGAAATCAAGAGTGAGACGCTTAAATGACTGAGCCACCCAGGTGCCCCAGTGGCATTTTACTTTATCGGCATTTACGCGGACTCCCTGGGCCCTCGTACCTCTAGGGCCCCATGAAGAGGGCCAGGTGGTCCCTGCACGGGCAGCAGGCTGCATTGCAAGAGGAAACCCAAGCTCAGGAAACCTGAGTCTTACGATGACTGGTAAGCCTGCCTGACTTTGGCTCCAAAGAGAGACACTGTGTCTACCACCCAAGACCATTTGCCACATCAACATCCTTGAAAAGACATCTGGAACTGAGGGCGTGCCTAGCTCACAGGACGTACTGGAATCCAAGCGACCCTTGGAGAATGAAGAATTGGCAGTTTCTTTACCTGGGTCCTTAGTCTTGAGACCGGATGTCGTGGTGCAGTGGTGGTGACTTTGTCTCCTGTGAATGTTTCTTTTTGAGGAGGTACTGATCAAAGCATCCCAGAGGTGAGTGGCCCTCTGGATGTGAGGCAAGCTTGCACAGGAAGCACAGGAAGGCAGAGTGAAGGGCTGCGTGTGCGCCTGTAGTCCTTGGGGTGGGAGAGACGGCCCTGGACTTGCCTTTCATGGCTCAGTTCCCGGGCTGCTTCAGGCTTCGGGTGAGTTCTCGTGGCCACCAGGTCTTACGTGCCGGGGACACGGGGAGGCTGAGAATGCTGACCGTCCTGGTGTCTTACTGGGAAATAAAACCCCTTTTTACGTGATGAGAGAGCACGTATACTGGTTTTACAAACACGGGCTGCCATTTTCTTATGACCCTGATGCTACAAGGGATGAAACTATCATCAGGGAACAAGGCGGTTTGGGCCAAGGTGTGCCGGTGCCCCAGCCGTGGGGATTTGTGGTGTTTGATTTGTGGTGGTTTCTGGTTTCTGTGCTGTCCATACTCCCCGTCACGGCCAAGTTCAGGCTGTCAACATGACATCCCTGCCTCTGGAGCCGGGAGGCGATGGCAAGGTCATGAACAAATGACTCCGGCCTCCTGGGCCACGTGGGGCTGAAGCGCTGGGGAAATCTGGCTCGGTTTTCGGTTCTGTGATCGAAGCAGTAACAACAGAAACAGCTGACATTTTTCGTGTGCTCGCCATGTACTAGGTGCTGTTCCAAGGACCGTATTCTTTATAACCTTCCGTTTTATGGACAAGGCAACGGAGTCACGGAAGGGTGAAGTAACTCTCCAGACGTGAAGTATCCAGAAAAGTGAGGCAAGATTTCACCCCAGGCCGAGTCTCACCCAGCGGGAGCTGTTGCATCACTGTGGCCGCTGGGAGCAAGAACTTGCCTTTCAGTGGCTTTGTTCGGGAGAGCCACTTGGCCGGAAGCACTCATTGCGAGGGGTAGGAGGGACCTGCCGCTGCTCTCTGTTGGAGTCTGTATGGGTTTCTTATTGTTCTGGAATAACCAAACGTAGTGGCCTAAAACAACACAAATCTGGGGGCGTCTGGGTGGCTCAGTCGGTTAAGCGTCTGACTCTTGATCTCGGCTCGGGTCACAATCTCACGGTTGGTGAGGTCGAGCCCCGCATTGGGCTCTGCACGGACAGGGAGGAACCTGCTTGGGATTCTCTCTCTCTCTCTGCCCCTCTCCTGCTTATGCGTACACATGCTCTTTCTCTCCCTTGAATGTAAGAAACACACACACACACACACACACACACACACAAATCCGTCATCCTACGGTTCAGGAGAAATGGGCTTTATGGAGCTCAAATCAGGGTGTCAGCAGAGCCGAGTTCCTTCCAGAGGTGCTAGGGGAGAATCTGTCCCTTGCCCTTCTTCAGCTTCTAGAGGCCGCCCACACTCCTTGGCTTGTGGCTCCGTTCTCTGAAGTCTGTTGTCACACCTCCTCTCTCCCCACCCCTCCCTGCTTCTTTCTTGTCCTGCCCCATGTAGGATTACACTGGGCACGCCCATGGCGTATAGGATAATCCCCTCGTCTGGAGACCCTTCACCACATCTGCAAAGCTTCTTCTGCTTATAGGATAAACTATTCATAGGTTCTGGGGATTAGGCCATGGACATCTTGGTGGGGGAGCACTACTCAGCTTACTACAGAGTCCAATAAACTTTTCAGATGGAATGACAGTATCAGGGGATCATTAGGTGCATTTTCTTCAAGCATTGCTAAAAGTGGGCTTTGCATTTCCCCTGGATTGAAAACGGAAGTGCTTCATATATAAAAACGACATGGCCAGGGCGCCTGGATGGCTCAGTCAGTTGAGCATCTGACTGCGGCTTAGGTCATGATCTCGCAGTTTGTGAGTTCGAGCCCCGCGTTGGGCTCTGTGCTGACAGCTCGGAGCCTGGAGCCTGCTTCGGATTCCGGGTCACCCTCTCTCTGCCCCTTCCCCACTCATGCTCTGTCTCGGTCTCTGAAAAATGAATAAACATTTAAAAAAATAAAAAAAAAAAGTGACGTGGCCCACGGATCCTGGGTGTAGAAACACACCGGAATTGGTCATACTCTGTGGGAGAAAAGTAAGTCAGTGGTCTGGGCCAGGAGAAGTCCCAGGTCTGTGACACTTGTAGGAGAAGCCCTGGTTACCTGGATGGTCCCGGCAGCCTGAGGCACTTCCATCACTTGGTTATATTCATGCCCCTCCAACTGATCCCGGCCCTCGAGGACAGGTGGCTGTGGGCCCCGAGTTGCCCACGGGACCTTTGCATTTACACATATAATCTCACTACAGGGAAAACTTAGCTGAAGACGTCAATTTATATTATCTATCCTTGCCTGATTTCTTATTCTGAACATGGTTCTCCCTAGAATCTGATTTGGGCTGGTTAGGCATTTAAAACCCCCAGAAGAAAGTGTTTCTGCCTGGATTCGTTTCCATTTGCCATCCTCGCCGAGTGTTCATAAAGGCCTTGGCTTGTCTTACACAACTGGCAAAGAAAGGCCGATCTTTGTGTCTGTGTTCTGTGGTGAACAGAACTTCCAACGATGACGTGTTTAGGGTCCAGGGAGGAGCTCTCTGCAGGGCGATGGCTGTTCCTTCTTTTCGTGGAGCCTTAAGAGGTAGGCTGCCGATAGGCTCACAGCTGGCGAGAGGAAGCGTCATCAGGATTAGAGACGAGATCTGATTGCTAACTAGCAAGGGAGAAAGGCTGGGGTGCATACGTGATCGCCATTTCATGCCCAGATAGGGAATGACCCTGAGTCCACGCATGTGGTAGCCCTCTGGTGCATGGTAAGCGCAAGGCCAGGATGGCTTTGGGGTCAAGAGCCCAGACTCAAGTTCTAACTCAGGCTCCACCACTTAATTGCTCAATGACCTTAAGCAAAGTTTGTTCCCGCACACGTAAAAATGGGGATCACGACTGAACTTGCCTTATAGGCTTGTTGCAGGATTGATCGAATTAGTCCAAGTAAAGAGTTTAGAGCTTTTAGTTGCTAATAAGGGTGAGAGGCTTTAGGACTTCGTTGATCTTTCCATTGGGAAGAGCAAAAAATAAATTACGAATGGATTAAATGGAAAAAATACAAACATAAAAGAAGTTGAAAAGACCACGTATACAATAAAAAAAAAAAACATAAAGTAAAATATTGGTAAATCAGAATATACAGTAGTGGATTTACAGTACTTTAGGTTCAAAAACAGTATAAAGAAAAGGTAAATGATAAACTGGAAGTTTGCAATGTGTTTGAGAGGGAAAGAGTATCCTTCATATATTAAAAAGTCTAAAAACACTGAATGCATACATCAAGAGAAAATAGATATATCAAGTAATACATGTAAAAGGAAGTTCTGTTTTTCTCTTACAAAGATTGCAAAGAAATCATAGTGAAATCTGTAATATTTAGTGTTGGTTAGCAAGCAAGAAAACTTGCTATTAATGGAAGTGTGTTGGTTTAATTTTTTTGGAGGCAATTTGAAAATATGTTCCAAGTATCATTCCACATCCAGAAACTTAAAAGACATATGAGAAATAATACAGCATTATCTCTGAAAAGCGTTAAGGTGATAACCCAAATTCCCAACCAGAGGGTAATGCTTAAAATTATCTAGTTCTTGGATGGGATAGCTTCCAAGTGTATTTAATGACCTTAAACCTCAGAAAGCTAAGGGGCCCAAACGGGAACACAAAGACATACCTAGTACACGCTCAAAGTTGGAAAAATACATGGGTAGGTATATCCATATTAAAAAGCATGGGAAAAAAAAAACATCTAAAAGGAAAAAATCATATTAACAGTAATGATCTTGGGACGGGAATTATTTTTATTCCAAAATAGTTTTCTGTATTTCACAAATTTTCTGTAACTTCTTCAAAAGGGGGAAAAAAGTGATATTGGAGAGCTTTCATTGATCGATGTCCTATGTCTTGGCCAGTCCACTGGTTTGGGTCCGCTTTCCTCCACAGAGGTTTCCAGACCTCAGGTCTTCAAGGCAGGCATAATAATGCACTCTGCTAGGCCACCTGGGGTCATCTCACTGTAAAAACACGCCTGCCTCGGGGCTTCCCGGGGGAATCTGATGGCAGGTGGCCTGTGCACGCGGACCGCTGCGGGGTCAGCGCGCTGCGACCCGCGCGCAGCCGCACTACAAGCGTCCCGTCCCCGCGGCGTGTGAGCGCCGGAGCCCAAGCGGGCCCGTTTCCCACGTCACTTCGGGGCTCTCCGCCCCGGGGAGAGAGGCCAGAACCGTGCCTCGAATGCGCTTTGGTGTCATCAGGTGGCTAACCTCCGGCCACAGCGCGCCCCCCACTCCAAGCGGCCACCTTTCCAGGTGTATCTTCCTTTATGTACCCCTTTTCCAGGGGCTCCTGCATCATCAATGGGAAGCCGTGCACTTTACAAACCACCTCGACTCCTGGTTCCCAACACAGCTGAAAAGATGACGTTTCGGGCAAAGTGGCGGCAAAAGTCAAGATATTTACCCTCACACTCTAGCCAGGGACCTTTCTAGGGACACCCTGTAACTTGATCAAGCCCAGAAGGGGCAAAAAGTGCATCTCGAGCCAGCCAGGAGTCGAACCTAGAATCTTCTGATCCGTAGTCAGACGCGTTATCCATTGCGCCACTGGCCCTGTAGCAGCCCAACCCTCCCTGTGATGTAGATCACCCCTTGCGCAGCTTCCACAGGTTCCCCAGCACTGGCGCAGCATTTCCGCCCCCGGGGCCGCGGCGCCCGCCCACGGCTCTCACCGCTCCTCCTTTCCCCAGCAAGCGCCCTCCGCCAATCCACAGCCGCAACGTCACGGCGCTCCCCGGCGCGCTCCAATCCGCGCGCCCTACAGCTTCTCTAGCGGGAGCGGGCGTGCGCACAAGTTTGTCCGCGGCCGCCTCCCGTCCGCTCGGGTCGAATGGGGCGGGGAAAGGGGTGGGGCGAGCCGGGCGCTGCGGCCGCGGAGCTGGGTGAACGGTAGCGCCGTGGAAGAGGCGGCGGCGCGGGGCGGAGCGGGCGGAAAGAGGAAGAAGGAGCTAGTGGTGCACGATGGCGGCGACGACCTACGAGCGGCTGAAGCTGTGAGTCCCGCGGACCGAAGGGGCCTGAGGGGTGGCGGGCGGGGCGGCAGGTGCGGGCCGCCGCCTCGGGCAGGGCTCCGGAGTCCCGGGGCTGCGGGCCGGGTGTGGGAGCCCCTGGCACCCCTCGCCTTCCCTTCCCGGCGCGGCCCGTCCTGGAGCTTGTAGCTTGCGGCCGCCCGAAGGCCCCGCTGGAGTCGCCACAGGCCCGGGAGCCCGAGGATGATAGTCTCGCCGGCCTTTCTTCGCCCCGCTCGGCCTCAGCGCCCACGGCGGGAGGGCGAAGCTGCAGACCGGCTTCCAGCGAGCCCGGGTCGGCGTTGTGATGCGACAAGCTCGGGGCGTGCTGCACCCCACCCACTTTGTTGGAGAGGTGGCGGCTAAATTTATCTTTATCGCTTAGTAGAGGAAGAGAGAAGTTTTTTGTGTTGTTGTTGTTGTTGTTGTTGTTTTCTTGTTTAATGGACCCATGACAGCACGTTAGAGTCCACACGCAAATGGACAAACCTTTAACTGGGCATCAAAGCCCGCCTGACCAGCCTTCAGGATGCAGGAAAAAAAGAACCGTCAAATACTCTTGAGATCCTAAAGGGTTTACCTGGTTTCAGCTATTATGCAACTCAAGCACGAAGCAGGTTAAGTTCGTGTTGACAGCCAAAGGCTGTTCTCGAGAATTTTGGCAGGGCAGGTGGACTTTTCCGTAAAGCCAAGTTCCTGAGGCTTTGAGAAATAGGCTCTGGTTGTTAAGGTTGTAAATTAAGTGTTTGTAGGTTCTTTTGGCTGGTCCTGGATAAATAAAAACACATTTCCCTTAGCATTACCGTGAGCTCTTTGGTTCTCTTGCGTCTGAATAACTTTCTTCTACTTTGTGCTTCATGCTTTCCCTCTAGACTGAAAGTCCACTTACCCTAGTGTGAGAATGTCCTTGGCCTCAGAAGCTAATGCCATTTTGAGGAAGCTTACCTATATCCCTAAATGAGTTAAAATACCTTGGGACTTAGGCAGAGGTATCACATTTCCTTTGTAGGAATAGGAAGACATCCAAATGTGGTTTGGGCACTTCCTCTGCTCCCTAGAACCTCAAACTCACATAACTTTCTGGAAGGTTCAATTTAAAGTTAGGGATACAAAAGTGGGAGTGAGGTCATCTACTCGACATGAAGTATTTTGCAGAAAAGGTGATTCCTTTCTCCTCAGCCCGCTCCCTTTGCCCCTTTTGTGTACTGTAATTCTCTTTGAAAACCTCAGCTGCACACTTCCCTCCACATTCTCCTTGCCAGGTTTCCTTATCCTCTCCCAGTTGCCCCTTTGCAAGGTGATCACCTTGCTGGTGAATGAATCCAGCGAAATGTCTGAAATGTCTTTGACTCCGGTACTGGCTGGGCGGGTGTCACGTGTTCTCGGCTGGCTAACTGGGCTATTGTTGACTATCTGAAAGTCACCAAAGGGTTTAATATGATCCTACGGCAGGTCTCAAATGTGTTCAAGCAATAGGGAGCCTTGGCTTGTTGCCGCTCAGGGTTAGGTCAGGGAATGCAGTTGAGTTTGTGGCAAAGATTGAATGGGACGGAGAACTGGAGAACTCTGATGATTGCCTATGTGTTGTCAAGGAGGCACTAAAGTCACCAGTACGATCTTTAAAAAAAAAAAAAAAGGCTCTATATCCATAAAAGAGAAAGGAAATTTAGCCCTTAAGTGGTGGGGATGATGCTTTTGTATTGATTTTTATAGAAGTGGAAACTATGAATTTGAGTGAAAAAGTAAATCTGGGGTTATGTGAAAGTCACTCCTTGATTTGTTGGACCTCAACGTTATGCCTCCCCCCCCCCCCAACAAAAGTTTTGAGCGCTTGTGTCAGTGTGAGGCCACCATTTTTTGTGTGTGTGATTTTTGCATTTCTCACCAAGAAGTTTGTGAGTTGGAGTCTTTGCTCTTAATCCTTCTTTTTGGCCCTTTCTACTCCAAGGCATGCTGTTCAGGGTTTTTAAATGTGGCCTCTGACCTAAGGGATGGTTTTTTTTAGATGCATTTGGGAGTGGCAGTAGTTTCTGACCCATGTAAGAATTAGTAGAACATAATAGCCATTTTTATTTAAAAATTATTTTAATTTTTTTAATGTTTATTAATCCGAGGCAGGCTCCAGGCTCCAAGCTGTCAGCACAGAGCTGGACGCGGGGCTTGAACCCATGAACAGTGAGATCATGACCTGAGCCGAAGTCGCAGGCTTAACCCACTGAGCCACCCAGGCATCCCAGACATAATAGCCATTTTTAAAAACATACCTATAGATGTTTCAAGAAAGATCCATACAAGAGGTGGTTTGATTATTTATTACAAAACTGCTGTTACTGCTCAGTCTGTTACAGTATTGAAGTGCTGGGGATTTTAAATAATGATTTGTTCTGCAAGTATCTCACCCATTTGCAGTCTGTCTCTGTCCTGCTATGACGTTCACCTTGCCCTGATTTTATCCTCTGCTCCCCTGCTTACAGTCTCCAGTTCCATCTTGCCTATAGGGCTGAGCCCACATTTCCTAGTCATCTGGGTCTGGTCTCTTCCCAAGCTGTCCCTTAACCTTATGTCCCCTAATTGCCCAATGCATTTTTCCCCCTTCCACCACACTTGGCCACCCTCGTTTAGCCTCAGGGTAGGGCTTATTTATTTTGATCCTTCTACCCAAATGCCTTCTTCCTCTCTCCCCTCTTTCCATGCTGATCACATCCATGGGCCCATGGTAGGGCTGAGAGATGACAGACTGTGTTAGTCAGAAGAGACTGAGAATCAAATGCTGACCTTGTTCACATGCTCTATGTTATGGCCACGTTACTTAATCTCTGGGTCAGTTTTTCATCTGTAAAATGAGCACAGAACTACCTCACAGGATTATCATAAAGACTGAAAGAGTGTAAATGTAATTAACAGCGACTCACTTTCTCTAAGAAGGCTTTCCCCGCGTCTTCCCCTTCACGGAGCTCCCATGACAGTCTGCTGTCATGGAGACCGGACGCCAAATGTGCATCTGGTTTGCACCTTCTACCTGTTAGGATTGACAAGCGGTATATTATTATCTCACGGACGGGAGGGCTGAAAGTAGAATAAGTCTGTCGCGCTGTTTGAACCTCTCACTGCCACCTGGAAACGATGAAATCACTATAGTGCATGTTCTTTGTTGCAAATAGGTAGAACATATTAGAAATGCCTTAACGTTGATTCTTGGCTAGTCCTCGGTACCAAGCATAAAGCCTTGTGCAGAGAGACCCTCCTTGGATCACCTGAGTACATGAACTTGGCAGTGTAGAGTGTAGATGTAAGAGTAGATGTACGACGTAAGAGGGAGATATCACCAGCATTCAAAAAGAACCCAGCCTGGGGTAATTTGGGATGTATTCTGTGGAAGTAGCAGCAGCTGAGGTCATTCCATGTATATGATTGTCTTTCCAGCGCCTCTGAAGTCATAGGTTGATGTATATCCTCTGTCATCATTGGAGATGGAGATCATTGCCCTTGGCGAGCCATGCCACGGCAGAACTGGCCTTGGAACACAGCAGGCCCAGAGTCCAGAGATCTTTCCATTACACTGCATTATTCAAATTACCTTTTTTTCTTATCAGATTGCTTTCACTTTAGTCCTTGGATGTGCCTGGTACAGAAGCAAGTCACTTAGGTTTGAAAACAGCTGACGTGTCCATTTGGATTTTTAATATAGAAAACAGAATGTTGATATAGTCAGAATTTAAAATTCTTTTTTTAAATGTTATTATTTACAACAAATTTTTTTAATGTTTATTTTTGAGAGAGAGAGAGAGAGAGAGTGCAAGCGGGGAAGGGACAAAGAGAGAGAGGGAGGTACAGAATCCAAAGCAGGCTCCAAGTTCTGAACTGTCAGCATAGAGCCCAATGCGGGGCTCAAACCCACAAACTGTGAGATCATGACCTGAGCCGAAGTTGGACACCCAACTGGCTGATCACCCAGGTGCCCCTTTTAATGTTATTTTTGAGAGAGAGAGACAGAGAGAGAAAGAGAGAGAGAGCGCGCACGCAAGCCAGGGAGGAGCAGAGAGAGCAGGGGGCAGAGGATCTGAAGCAGGCTCCGTGCTGACAGCAGAGAGCTGGATGTGGGGCTTGAATTCTTGAACTGTGAGATCATGACCTGAGCCAAATTTGGGTACCCTTGACCTGAGCCAGATTAGGACCCTTAACCGACTGAGCCATCCAGGCACCCCTAAAATTCTTTTTTAAACATCCAGGCCATTCTAAATAATCTACCTTGTGACTCCTTTTTCTTTTCAAGTTACTGGTGTGAACATGAGTAACGTCAAACAATGAAAAATGTGAAATTACGACATGATTACAACAGAAATCCACTCTTGGAAACATTTAAGGCACTCCCTGCCCCCGCCCGCCCTTTAAGAGGTCAACTGAAATAGGTGTAAGACAGGAAATCCTTTAGAAAGTGAATTCGGCTGCCGCTTGCCTCTGGAGAAACACTGTTGCCTTGGTTAGCAGGTCCCCTTTCTTCTGAAAAGTTGGCCACGGTCGTGAGGTCAGTGGGGCAGATGTGATGCAACCCTGAACAGATATGAACTAAGCTGCACGGCGACGAAGACACAGGCGGTCTGCGCAATACAAGGAACCATCAGCATATTCACACATCTTTTTGTAAGGAGGGATGGAGGGAAGGGAAGGTTATAAGTTTGGGCACGGGTAAGCGGAGTTTCTTTCCAAGGTATCAGTTGGGTTGGGGTTCAGGCTAGAGTGTCTGAGTTAGTGCTAGGCTGCGTCAGATCACTTGCTGGTTGTTTTAACTGTGTATTCCAGAGCCTCACATCAAGCCTACTGAGTGAAAACTCTCTGAATGTGGGGTCTGTGAATCTGCGTGTTTAACTAGCTGTCCCAGTGGTTCTTACGCACACTACAGGGTATTTTGGGGCCGTGTGAAGCAGAGAGAACTAAAGCATACCGGTTGGTGAGTAGAACAGCATTCTTTGGGAGGCTTGGGGCCC